TCACTTCAGCAGCTGGTTCATGAAGCAATACAAGCCCTTATTTCTTCCCTCTGCTGTGGGGGAGTTCAGTTTGCTGCTATATGTATGTGAAATTCTGGTGAAGTAATTAACTAAACCTCCAGAGGCCTGACTTTAGAAACCAGAAGTTCCATGGGCCAGCTTCGGAACATCATATACCTTGCTAGTTATTCCAGGCAAAGGAGGCACAAGGGCTGATCCTGTGCTTAGCTCAGGAGTGCTACCATAAAGCATATTCCCCTTTCACTCTGTGCATCCATATCCCAGCAGTGAGGCAGTGTAACCACTGTGAGAGGCTCTGAGCATGTGCCAGTAAGCATGCCTGAGACAGAGAGGCTGAGAGCAGTGTGAGTTGTATTTCCCATGTTTTTCTATGGTGGCCATGTTACCTCACTTCTGGGGTTTGGGGTATACAGAGCAGGCATTAGAGAGAAGGGCATGACTTCACCAAAGCTATGAGTATTTCAATCAGGAGTATTCCAGCCATAGAAACTACACAGGGCTGGTGTGGATTCCTATCCACACTCATTCTCTCCTCTTTTCACAGAAATCCCCGTCTCCACAGTGGGGTTACTGTTTGCATAGCTGGAATGGTGCCCGTTGTCTGAATTCTGCAAGGTTTTGTCTCCTCTCATAGTAAAAGCAGACAGAATAATTTAGGCCAATGTCTTTGGTCCCTCCCTATGCAGTTAATGAGAGACACTACTATGTTATTAAGCAGCTAATGTTTATACAGATATTATCATCATTGTGGTTGGGTGCACACATTTATGAGTTTGTACCGTGTGATAATAAACATCCACAACTGAAAGTGATTTTAGTGTTTGTACGTGTGTGTGTGTGTGCATGTGCATCTGCTATGATGTATTTGCATATGTATGCTTATGGTGGAGTATGTATTTTTATTTTCAGTGTGTAAAGAGTGGTTGCACGTACATGTCTTTTTTCATTAGCAAGCATATATAAGCAAGGATGTAAGCATCTGTGTGTGTTTGCGTGAACACAGGCATTGTGGTTGAGAGAAAGAAAATCACTGTTTCTCCTGTCAACTGTTTCTAGGGTTCCTGCATCAATCATTTAATAATCGAGTTTTTTCCTCCCTCTCCCTGATGAAGGACCTTTGCTGCTGCTGCTGCTGCTGCTGCTGCTGCTGCTGCTCTCTCACTCTCACCCTCTTTCTCTTTTGTCAGCCATTTCTCTTGGTCTTTTCTGCTCTTACATTTACCAGAGCAGAATTCAGTGACAACCTCTTGGCAATTTCTCATTGCTGGTGACTCAGGTAATTGGATAGGGTGCCTTGGGGGGCCGCCAGCCATGATGTCACAGCTCTGCAGAAAAAAATATCCTAAGTAGTTGCTTGCTACATCAGCTATGTCTCATCCTGCTGCAAGTGAGGAGCTCTGAGCCTGGGGGTTGATGATTCCAGAGACCCAGGGCATTGTGGCTGGAGAGAGTGTCCGTCTCCACTCCTTGTTTACGCAGACTTTTACCTCCTTCCTACATGCCCACCAGCGGCCCCCAAAATAGTGGCTCCATATGTTCAAAACAAACATTTCATCCCTGTTTCTGAAAAGGGCAGGGTAATGGATTAAAAAACAATGTATAACAGGAATGATCAGTATAGTACAAGAATAAACAGCTCTGTGAAGGACAGGATAGACTCCCTGAACCTTCACTCTTGCATCAAGAATTTATTCTGCCCTTTTAAACAATTTGCCTACTAGTTTTTTGACTTCCTTGAATTCCTAAGACCTTATACAATCCTCCAAGAATGGGAAGGACCACTGTCACAAGCTCCAGTATATTTTGGTGGTTTGTGGGGTATCATGCCGTCTGTATATGCCTTTATGCTTTTGATCATAGCTTAATCAAGGGGCTGAAGGATGCACAACTAAGGAAAAGAGAGTAAGTGTAACTGCAAAGTATCTCTTACTACGGCAAGGACAATTGCCACTCTCAATCACAGACAGAAGGGGCTACTGGTGGACTGGGCATCCAAGTTATTGCCCACTAGTAATGGGAAAAACAATTGGGCAATAACAAAGGCATCTGAGAGAAATGGTCCGTCAGCCAGAGGAACACCAGGTACTCTAGAGAGAAAGATTTCTAGAGAATTTTGATACCCATGAGCAATTAGGGAAGGGATGGGCAATTATTTTGGGTGGAGGGCCGCTTACTGAATTTTAGGAAGCCATCGAGGGCTGCATGACAGGCAGCTGGGGGCAGATAAATATTAATTTTCTTAATGTTTTAGGCCCCCGCAGGCTGGATAGAATGGCCTGGCAGGCTGCATCTGGCCCATGGGCCACATTTTGCCCATTCTTGAATTAGGGCAATCCTGATTGGTAGGCAGGGGAGGGGAAGGGGAACTGTTTTGGTGTTATTTTGGAGGCTATCTGTGCAATATAATTGGTCTTTGGATCCCAGGCTTTAGGGAGTCCAAGTCTCCAGCAGTCAGGACTGGCAGAATCACCAAAAAATCCTATTTCTAAAAACACTGGCAGGACTCTCAAGGGGTTAGGTGGTAAATGAGTGGGAAAGAAACATTACTTATCTTTTGGCTCTGTCTTCAAACATATGGTCAGTTTATCTTGTATGATTACTTTCTCTTATATAATAAATCCTTTTATTGTTTTGTCTCCTTGCTAATTCCTGTGGTAAAGAGTGATCTCTGGGCAAGTAGCCCATTTTACAGAAAGGGGGGCCTAAAATGTCTTTCATAACCCAAAGGGAAGGCACTTGGAGTTGGCAGAGATTCTCCTGTTGCAACTGTGAGGTCCAGTGTAAGGGCAGTGGAGCCAAGGCTTGTGGGGATAAGATTTTATTTCAGAGCAAACCTTGGCATGTTCCTTGGGACAAGCAGCAGAACAGTGAGGAAAAACTTGGGGCTCTGGCGGTACCTAGCAGACAGCTGTGTGACAAACACATTTCTCCAGTTAAATATCTCTCTCAAGTAACAGTTCCTCATTCTGGTGGTTTAATGGTGCACAGGTTCAGACTCAGGGCAGCATTTGTGTGTATTTAAGGTCCACACACTGATACAACATGATGATGCCAGTTCGTATGAAAGATTCCCACTGGCACATTAGCGAAGTAGGGTTGAGGGGCTCTGGCACATCCCTGCACTGTCCCCTTTTCTTGAGATTCTTTCACCCACATGCCATCTCCTAGATTCAGTGCTCTCCAGGATTTGACTCCATGGTACCTGGCAAAGCCCCTCTTCAGACTGTTTTATGTCAATCTCCTTCTTCTATAGACATGGGAAATCTGGGCAGTGATGGCTTGTTGGGACAGGGTACCTTAATATACTTCCCAAGAATTGTTCTACACAATCCATTTGCGACGGGTGTTCACCGGTTTGACAACAGGGTGAGAGGAAGATATGAAGATTTATAAATAAAGTGTTTCACTGTCCTTACTGAATAATGCTTCTTGGTACTCTTGAGAAGCTGAGGGCTGCAAGTGACAGGAATGAAACTCTAGGAACCTGAAAACCTCTTAAAGTCCTTGAGAAAACTAACACTGTCAGGGATAGCTTGCTCTGAAAGGAGCAAAGGTGCATTTTACCTTCCCTTTAATATGGTCTTGAGCAACTTGGTAATGGCAGTAAATCCTGAGAAGTAATCAGTCTCCAAAGAATAGGCTTTCTGTTACCAAAAAAGAAAAAGAAAAAAAGACAAGTCCTGACATTCTGCCATGGCCTGGTCAATAGAGCTGATGTTAATAACTATTCTGGTGGGTTGGATCCCATATAGGCAAAAGTGCCACACCTCCTAGCTTTCTCTTGCAGCTGCTTGCTCAGCTCAGGTCCCCAAACAGATTATGTAGCACTGTCCATGCATCTGTAATATTTTGGTGTCCCTTAAGCAGCCTGTCAAGGTTTTCTGTTGCATGGATATAGAGAGAATCAGTCTGAATCCATTTCGCAGCAGAAATGGTTTATGGTAAAATCCGCAGAAACTGTTTCACCCAGTCTCCTTGCAATGACTCATAACTTGGCTCAATGTTTCATCTGTCTGTGATACTGCTAGCTCTCTGCCGTGGTTAGGTTGTCCTGGCCAGACTAGTACTTGTCTGTCTTTTGCCTGTTCCTTGTTTTAGTTATTTGCAGGCATGCTTTGTTATTTCTTGGGTTTTTATTTAATCAGCCTTCTGAAACCACATAGACCAAGGGCTCTCTAGTGAGAATGAATGTAAGACTACCTTTATTCCCTCTCTACAAAGGCCCTTACACTCCACCCTTAAGGTTCTCACCTGTACACATATGGCTGTACACATTCACAATGACTGATACTGGTACAGAGACCTCCAAGGTCAATCCTACCACTCAAAATACTCCTACTACCAGAGAGCAACCATTACATTTTGACGACAGGAGTCCATACCTATCTCTACCATCCCTTTATGAGCCCATATCTCTGCCCACACTTCAGACTAAATCTCAGAAAAAAATTACTAATGATAAGAGCAGCAGGACAATGGAACAAGCAGCCTAGGGAAACTGTGGCACTTCCTTCACTGGAGGTTTTCAAAAAGATACTGTGCAGGGGGTTGAACTAGAACAGCGGTGGCCAATCTGCAGCACTCACGCCACAAGTGGCAGGATCAGGCTTTGTGTGCAGCACATGGTACACTGGAGAAGGAGCAAGAAACACAGGGACAGACAGAGCAGAGCAGGGAGCAAAAAGGAAGGGTATCAAAGTGACACTCAGGGAGGTTGTGGGGCATAACTTGTGATATGTCTGCCAAAAGGGTTGGCCCCCACTGAACTACGTGATCCCTGAGTTTCCTTCCAGCCCTAAGATTTTCTTATTCTCTGAACCATCCTCCACTATTTTACAGTGGTTACCAGCTTTATGGATTATGTCAGCAGGTTTGTGCTCTGCCTGGAGTCAAAGCTTGTTAGACAGGGTCACTGCTGCTGTTGTGGAGCCAACAGGAGGCAAAGAACAATTTACAAAAATTAAGTAAACAATCTATACCTGCTCCACAGGGTCGCTCACTGTTTTAGTCACTGTCTTGTAAATGGCAAAATCTGAAATACAGACAGAAAAGGCACTTGTTTGTAGGCTTATAGCAGGATTGGGGGATAAAACTCAGGGAAATCTGAATTCCAGCTCACCACAATGATTATAGCTGCCACTGCTGTTGCACTACTAGCAGGGATGGTATTGTGCTCTCTCTCACACAACTTTGTAATAGACTTCTCTTTGCTGGGTAAATGTCTTTCCATAGTGGTGAGTCCAGAAGTGGTACACAAATGGCAGCCTGTGTCATTTATCTCCTTTAAGATTCTTTAATTGATCCTCCTGGAAAGTTTTGTTTGGTACTTCAGCAATGTTCAAGGTCTCTGGTCAGTCCTTGGGAGACGCCCAAACTACTGACACCAGTTCCATTAGGGTATAAAGAACAGAAATGAGAAGAACCAAATTGCCTCAGTACACCACATGGAGTTGGATCAGCATTGGAAATAGGGCCTCTTGCAACAAGAATGCAAGCAGAGTGGAGTAAAGTTGGCCCTTGGAGCTGAAAACAGTGTGGCTAAGAGCAAAGCGCACATGATAAACAGGGAAGGTGCCATGCTAATCCTTGGGGGATGGAACAGGCACAAAGGCAGCCTGACTAAATACTCCAGAACAGTAGTTCTCAACCTTTTTCCTACTGGGATCCATTTGCAAATATCCATGGCCTGCCCTGACACACGACCTGCTGGTCCTGCTGGTGCCCAACCCCCAGTCCCCTGCCCCCCCAAGCCATGCTGGTGGCCTTCACTCCTGACCTGCAACCTCCTACCTCCCCCAGCTGCCCCTGTCCTGCTTTGGCCAGAGCACAGTGGCTCTGGCAGCTCCAACTCATGTGGGCAGCAGCAGAGTGAGTTCGACTCCAGCACAGGCTGGAGGGAGGAGGAGGAGAGGCCTGTAGCACCCCCCTGCCCTGGGCTGAGGCTTCTGCACTGCACCAGGCAGCCTGATCATGGCCCCTTCCACCCCCTGAGCAGCGTTTCGTGGCCACCCTGGCCCTGCGAGCATGGGCACTGGCCCCGGTGTCGCCAGCCCAGCCATGCAGCAATCCCCTGCCCTCTTCCCCCACTGGAAGGTGCAGGCACCTTCCCACTGCTCCTCTGTCCTGCTGCAGCTTGTAACCCTTTGAAATATTCTTGCAACCCACTTTTGGCTCACAACCCATGGACTGAGAAATGCTGCTCTAGAAAACATCCAGACTTCAGTCTGAAGGCAGCTTTAGCATTTGGGTGTGGAAAGACCAAACCAGAAAGCAGCCAGAAAGCATAATGTGAGGTCAGTCCAGGAGGACAACAACTGTGAGTAGGGTGCCTAGGCATAAGCTGCTACTGGAGAGTGATAGCTGTTGTACAACACAGCCCCAAGAGCTTAAAGTCCATGTATAAAGTAAGAGACAGCTGGATGGGGGTATTTCAGGAAACAATGGGACAATAGGGCAAAGGAAAGAGGAAAACAGCTAATAGCTAGACAAACAGCTAATGGCTTTTTCCAGGGTGCAGGCAGCCCCAGAGTTCAGATGCTCTGGCTTTGGTGATGGAACTTTCCACAGTGGCAGCCAGAGCCCCAGCTTCTGCAGGTACAGGTAGCCTCACCAGGGCTGTAGCAGAAGCCACTTCACTGCCACCAGAGTGTGATGATGGCGCTTCCCACAGTAGCAGTCAGTGCCCCAGCAAGAGTTGGGTGCTGGCAAATTGATCAGGACTGTGAGTTCCCATGGCAGCAGCCCATGTCCCAGTGACAGCTGGGTTGTGGGCAGCTCCAGTGACATCATGGTTAGATGCTCTACCTCCGCGGCCAAAGCCTGCTAAGCTGGATCTTTGGCTCTATCCACAGTGGCAGGGCTTCTGACAGTGATGGTCCTCAGTGCTGCTCTCCCTGGAGTGTTGGCTGTCACTGCAGGAAGCCCCACCACTGCAGCCAGAACCAAGTCAAAAGTCTCCAGGCCAGATGACGTACGTCAGTGAGCCGGATCTGGCCCACAGGTCCTATTTTCACATCCTTCCTTAAAGGGAGAACATATGATCAGGATATATCCAGAGTGACCTAGTCCCCCCCTGGCACCCACATTCTTTGGTTCGGAGATGCCATAGGATACATCCCGAACTGTTTGGTTAAATACTATGAGTGGATCTACCAGCCATGAAATTGTCCCTATTTGAGCCTGGCTGTACTATCTGTCTCTGCAACCTCCTGTGGCAATGTATTCCACAAATTAACTATGCCCTGTATAAAAACTACTTTCTCCTGTTAGTTTTAACTCTGTCTTCTGCTAATTTCAGTGGGTGCCCCCTACTGCTGGTATTCTGGGAATTGGTAAATAACAGTTCCCTATTGCTTTGTATGAGCCCTTCATGATTACATAGATCCCTATCATATCCCCTCTTAGCCCTCTCCTCTCCAAACTGAAGAGTCCTAGGTTTTTTAATGTCTCCTGGTATGGCAGTTGCCCCATACCCTTAATTGTCTTGTGTGCTTTTCTCTTCTGTACTTTTTCTAATTCTACTAAATCCTTTTTGAGATATTGAGACCAGAATTGCAAACAATATTCAAGATGTGGAAGCACCATGGACTTGAATAGTTTCATGATGATATTTTCCATTTTGTTTTCAATTCCTGTCATGATGACATCCAACATTTTATTAGCTGTTTTTGTTGCCACTGCACATTAAGCTGATGTTGTTAGAGTATGCTCTACAATGACACCAAAGTCTCTTTCCAGAGTCATAACAGGTAGTTCAGAATCCTGAACTGTGTATGTATAACTGAGGTTATTTTCCCCTATGTGCATTACCTTGCACTTGTCAATACTGATGTTCCTCTGCCATTGTTTTGCCACTCATTTAGCTTTGTGAGATCTTTCTGTAGCTCTTTTCTGTCAGCTTGGGATTTGAATGCCCAAAACAATTTAGTATCATCCTTGGGATTTAACTACCTTGAACATTTAGCATCATGATTATTGTTGCCACTTCTAATGCCATCTGGTTATCAGTGACCACAAGTTATTCCATCTGGTGGGCTATGCAAAAGAAGTTGTGTGCTTTCTATCAGTTCCTCTTGAATGAGAGTCCATGTTGTGAAAGTCATTTCATACCTGGCACTAATTGGTCTCATGTTGGCAAGACTCAACTGAGATCAAGGATTGAATGAACCATCTAAACTAAATTCTGCTCTTTTCTCTCAAAGGGAATCCTCTAGGGAAAGTCTGAGGCTGTGTGGCACAACTGATTATGAGAATATTACCCTGCTACTGCTCATAATGTACCTGCTCTGTGGAAAAGGAGAGGGCTGTCCAAGATTGTCAATATGGTCCCTTGTACCAACCCTAAATTTAAAGGGGATTCCAAAACTCTTATCCTCCCAAGCAGAACAAATCCCTTTATGTTACTCCTATGTCTTTCATATATCATAGCAGCCCAGTTCTTCTTTTATATAATTTTCCTACAAATAATTTCCCTTGCCTCTCCTCTGATCCATAAATTAAAATGTTTTTGTTTTGCTCTAGCACCTTCCATTCATAAAACTCAAATTAGTTATTTAATTCTTACAGCCTCTCTCTGATATGGGTGGCTATTATCCCCATTTCACAGACAAATAAACTGAAACACAGGTCAGTGAAATGATACATTCAAGGGGATATTGCCCATCCATGAAAGAACTGGAGAAAGAACCAGGAATACTCACTCTCAATCCTGTGCTTTCGTAGCTCTAGCTCTGCAACTTTTATCTAATACCACTATGTAACCAGATCTGTGGAGGGAAAAATCTCTTTACTTTCTTCTTTATAATCTTGTGCCTCTCAGTAGTTCTTTTACAACTGGTACACTCACTAATGAGCTCATCTTGCCCAACTCCTGACACGCCTTTTAGTTTGTTCTATTTCCACCCTGGAAATATAATATCCAGATGTGGATTCCAGTCACATCCTGAAATCCATCTGACTTACCTTAGGTCCTCATATAATCCCCACTGCCACCACATCTGAACTCTTCACAATCTTAAAATGTATTTATTGTCAAAATAGCCTGTAAGCTAGGAACATATTATTATCCCCCGGCACAGAGAGACAAGGGGCAGAATCTTATTTCACTTTGCATGCTCAAATGGCTGTCACCCAGCTGCACAACTGCCATTTTTGGCACTTACACACAGTTTGCAATCCTACGCCACATGCACTGTGGACACATAAACATCCACATAGCAATTGAGCATGTGCAGGAGATACGCAACTCTTTATGTGCATACCAGAATATAGGGACTGAAATTCTGGCCTGATGAAAACCAGGAGGGCGAGGGGCCTTTATGTTTTAGCTCAAAAGATGACTGATTAGGGCACTAGCCCAGGAAACAGGAGAGCCGGGTTCTAGGAGCCGGGTTTAACCTGTTTCTGACTTTCCAGCAGGCTGAGCCACCCTTCATACATTTAGTATTCCTTGGCTAAAATGGATGAGGGAGCAGTAGGGAAGTTTCTGCCCCATTGCCAGCAAGGGTCTAGGCCAAAACCATCTCACTGAGCCTTATAACCTCTGCCTTGTTGTCTTCCTCCTGACCTTACACATCTCCCTCTCTTGGCTGCCCAGAAGGCCAGCTTCAAAAGGAGCACTGAAGAAAGGGTAATATCTAATCTGGGACCTGGTAGTCAGTGCACTTTACTGGGAAGACAGCAGGTTCAAAGTCTCCTGTGCACGAATGCCTTGTGTCTCCCAAGGCTGGGGGGGCATGGCGACCGTCCACAGGCAGCGGCAGCAGCAGTGTGGCAGCGGCGAGCAGGGACCGCCTGCAGGCAGCTGCAGTGATGTTGGCAGTGAGGGCAGGCTGAGCGGGGATCACCTGTAGGCAGCCACAGCAGTGTTGGTGGTGAGGTGGGGGGTGGTGAGTGCCGAGTGGCAATCGGTGACCACCCACAGACACTGCTGGCCGTGTCGGTGGCGGCCGATCTCAGGGGCTGCATGACCAATCTCAAGGGGTGCACGTGCACCCCCTACACGTCGCCAATGCCTCTGTGTGACGAGGGATGTTAAATCTGAATCTCCTCCTGAATCTCCTGCTTTCTGGGTGAGTGCCCTGGCTAGTAAGCTATGAAAGGGCCCTCTTTCTCCTCCTCACACATCTAAGTCATGGTTTTTTTTCCAGGTGCAATTTTATGATTTATGTTTGCTCAGGGCAGGTGTGTACAGAGCCATGTACCTCCCTGACCAGAGTGCAGCTCTGTTGTGCATGCTCAGAATCCACACAGATGCTGAAAGTCAATAAGTGCCAAAAAAAGGAGACAGGTGGCTGGACATGAGAAGTGAAATTACACTATGTCCTATGGGTAT